TAATGGCCATTTTCTGTACTTTTGAGGCATAAGGAATGAAGCAATAACACTTACTACCCAGGAACAAAAATATATTGTTACACAGTGTTATCAGCCAATCATCATTTCCAATTTGATTCAGCACGGGACTGCGTTTGAATGGGCATTCAGCTGAGCAAGGCATCCATCCAACCGAATCTAAACTCTTCATCTCATACTTGAATGAATGTAACAAAAAAAACACAAAATCTTAATCCATTCTTAGAACAGCCATATATATATATGAAACCACCACAAAACGACTGTGTGCCAGAAATAAATGTGTATAAAGAAATGTGTTTTGAGTTTGTGACGCTTGAACAGCAACACGGCTGTACACTTTGAGTCACTTTTTGCTTGGTGATAAATAACATTGACAGCACGTGCAGCGTAAACTTCTCGGTGATGCATAATGTACTTTATTTTATATAGGGTGGTTGTTATTTTTTTATAAAATAGATGTATTAAAATAGACAATTAGCATTAATTGCTGTAGCCTTCACGATTACAGTTGTACTTAAAAAAATGACCTGCCATGATGGGAAAATCCGTTATACTACATATATATCTGGAGTCTATTTTTGATTTAAACTTAACTTAATCAACACGTGCTTTAGAGTTGGGCTCAAGATAAACAAGACCAAAACAACGATTGTGTACAAGTCGGCTAAAGAAACGAAAATATATGTTGAAGAGACGCTGCTACAAAACCCATCAGACTGTGTTTACAGAGTGAATCAATATGGTGAATAAAGAGCTGAGTGTTCAGTCCCTGCCCTCACACGTGATTACGTACTCCAGTTCCCTCCCATAAGCCAAACGCTCTTACAGGAATTGGCCAAACATCCAGTGAAGGAACCTCATGAAAAGAGGCTTGAAGCTCAGCTCGGCTTTGTTGGCACAATGATTATCATAATCATCATTATTGTTACCACCTGCCATGGTGGGTTCCACACATCGGCAGCTGCGAGTTTATGCGAAGTTTTCCTTTGCTGTTGGAAGTTCCATTCATCATGTTAAAGTGTTCCCTATTTTAAAACATTGCTAATAATCGTGTTGTAATACTGAGCAAGACATTCGCTCCACTGTGGATTTTGAAAGAGCATCATCTCGAGTAAACGGGACAAGTTGAGGACAATACACTGGACTTAGAAGGATTCCCTGTGGTCTCTTCCCAGAACACCAAATAAGAGCCGGACAGCTGCACATCCATGGTAGAAACAAAAGTCTAATTTAACTCTTTGAATCCGTAAAGCTGAAGATGATGGCAATTCTATTTCCACCGTTGCAGACAACTCATATCGACAGTTTCAAAATTAGGGATAGCGTATCCAACAACACACCTCTTGAGGGGATAAGCACGGAAACCACTCTACAAAAGAACAGTGTATGCCTTGTGCCAAAAAGTTGAGATGTTCCATGAAATAACTGGCTTGGGAGACTTTGATTTTCGAAAGCTTAAGTCAACAATGTCCAGACGCTCTCCCCACACCAATGGTGGGCTTACGCCCAAGTTGAATGGGTAAAGTTGTAAGTGCATTGATGATATTGAGCAAGTGATCAGGGATATATCCTGGATTTATAGAACAGGGGTGCACAAAATGACATCAGCTATGTGTGTGTGGATGGGGAGCGGTGGCACAGTGGTTAGCATGCCGCACGATATTCCCCGACACCCAGGTTTGTTTCCTGACCGCTTTCACGAATGGCTGCATCTACGCCTATCACGTCTCCCTTGGGTCAGCTCAGCATTAAGTGAATAGTTGGTGAGGTGTGTGAGCATTGGAAAAAGGTGGACGAGCAAATTGCTGACCACACTCGCCTTTGGTGTGGTCAGCACCATGCCTTCCCGAGTTGGTTCTCGCTAATAGCATTTGCAGTGCGTATGTATGTATGTTGCACTTCTTTTGCACCGTACATAGCCAGCCGTGATTAATCGTACATCGCGTGTAATCTTGCTTGCATGTGTCGTTTTTTGAGCTTGGTGGTGTCACTGGAATCCACTTTTAAACCCGAGATTGGCACTAGACAAGAAGCAGTCTGCAGTGGCGCCCTGGCAGAGCAGTCAACTCCTCCACAACCGTCAGTCAGCCCCATTCAAATCCCAAATACCGTTCCGTGAGAAGTCAACCGTGGATTTTTCTATGCAATGACCCCCCCCCCCCCACCATTGGAAGGTGGAATTTCTACTACTGGCTCAGGGCACTGCTCTGTTTGATAGCCCGTCGTGAAACAATTGTCCTTGTGTGTGTTGTGTGTGTGTACATATATACCGTACGCAACTTATTATTTATCAAGATAATTCAGGCAGGAACAATTTAGCAACCTATGCTGCCTGGTATTGCGGTCTAATGGGCGGATCTCATTATACATTTACTTTATACCAGAACGGCAACATGAAATGACTTGAAGACGAATTCAATCACCAACTCTGCAAGCTTCATATTGCCCCGCGGCTTATTATGCCGTAACTGTTGTCCTTATCACTTCTCTCCGAGATGTGCATTTACGTCTTTCAAATCCATAATGTAAACATTATGGATTTTCACTTGGAATATTATGTGTAATGGCAAAACGGACTCGATTCATTTGTACAACGTTATGACATTCATTAGCATGGGAATCGCATTGTTACTCGCAGTGCTGATGATAATGACGAGTGAACATGCACACAGACTTCCTGTAGCCTGAGTGTCTATTCATTGCTGCGGAAATATCAAGGGCAGCTGAGCAATAATTGCTGCATGAAAGTGCACCAACATGCCTGGGACGGTGCCCTAGCCAATCAGTAAAAAACGCTCGATGGATAATTACATGAAGTGGGAAGTAAATACCCATAATGAATCTTGCCGAAGAATATTGCCGTTGGCACTTCAACCCCGTCGTCATAAATACCAGCGGTGCAGGCATCTCCAGGAATGTATGAGCGTACCATTGCCTCTTGGGCTTTTATCATTTGACACTAAATGTTTAATATTAATTATTAAAATCTGCTAAAACACATGTGCACCCACGGCTTTTGCTGATGCACGCAAAAACAGAGACATTAAGGGATCGCCCAGAATTCCTCTACCTCTGCGTTGTAAGTGGTTATCAGGATTGAGCAGCCAAAGCATTTCCTGCACAAATGGAGTGAATTCGCTTTTCGTAAAAGGCACACGGCCTGAAAAGTAGCCCATGATGCTGGAAAAGAGCTTTTGTGCGTTCTCGAAAAAAAACCAACCACCTTAATGCACATTCTTTATTCACCATACATAGTCTACACCGAGGCTTATAAGGGTCTCCTGCAAGTCAGGTTTTATTACTTCATTCCATTAGTACATTGATTGTATAGTGTATTTTATTGTTGAAGCCAAGGATTAGGGTTTTCTTCTTTATTAAGTTATTCGGCAATTAACCTTTAAAAAAAAACGCCAATATGTAAATTACTAAAATATGTTTGATGCTTTCGTGCTGAATTTCATTTTCAAGCTTTTTCAATAAAAATAAATTTTTTATGGAAAAACAAACGGCTGATAAAGACGTTGGATTGTTTTCTTATTGGCCACATGCACCAAAGCACTTGAGCCTAAAAGTGGCATTGATTTTGTATTCAGATACTTAATGCTTTGCTTGTGATCATAATTTTGATTTTAGTATGCTAAGAAAAATGTAGCCCGTATATTTCTACCGCCACGCATCGCCAACAGCCATGATCAGTCCACTGCTAAATGAAGGCTTTCCCCATGTCATTGCCAATCTTTATGGTTCTGTGATGCCACGCTGTATTTGTTATTATACAAGGGCTACTCGGAGTGCTCCAGCTCCTCTTGGGCACTGTTTGTAGATTGTCATCGTCACCCAGTCTTCATCCGTTGATCATCGTCTCTGCTGGCAATGTCAAGCCCAAGCCTGACTTAATTATTTGACGTTAATATGTCTCTCATTAGAATTTTACCTCCGATCGTTGTTCTTTCTTCCTCGCAGTGTACTTTGCATCACATGTCTCTCCACACTCCTTAGCATACTATCGAGCTGCTTTTCAGCAATCGTTTTCCTTCGTTTAGCCAACTTGTTGGTTATGACTTTGGTTTTACTCGTATTTATCTCAACTGAAACACCAAGTACATTTCTCCAGGAAATACCTGCGGGTTTGAGTATACGTTAGCAAAATGGGCCAAACCATGTTTTATTTAAGTGGATATACATTTTTACACGAGATGCAAAGGATAGAAGATTTGCTGAAAAACAAATGTGCAGCTACGTCCTGGTAATGGTGTGTCCCATATCATCGATGACGGTAACATTTCCGCTGTTAGGTTCGGGAGCGTGAGCTGCCAAGAGGGAAGCCCATTTTCACAAGTGGAAGAACCATTTGGCTTCCTATTATGACAATTTTTTTTATTTTACACGCAGGGCAACTCAGAAAAAAAAAACACACGGATAATGGGGAGCCCACGAAAAGAGCAGCCGGTTCACAGTTCGAAAAAAGTGTGGAAATTCAGCCGCAAATATATATATGTGAAATCTAGTACTCAACCAACACGCAGAAGCATCGACACAAAGATAGCCGTACAGACTGCAGTGCTGCTGCCGAACATGGTGCATGATAGGGTGGTGTGGCCGGAATTCCCACCCGGTTGCATTTGTCTTCATCGTGCTAAAGAACTGATTTAGGGTTGAGTTTACTTAGGAGAGGTCCACAGTGGGTCCCAATACCACTTGGAACTGATGTTAACCATTGCTGGCAATCAAATGGAGGACATTGTGTCCCAGATTAGCGTGCGTGCACAGTGTGCTAATTCACACACTATTCATGTTGGCGTCATTGTTATATCACATGAGACAAATGTGTTCAAAGAAGTGATCGTGCACGAGACACCTTTTTTTTGGCAAACAATATTTTCTGATGGAATTTCTTTATACTCCGCATGTACAATTTTGCGTGAAGACACCATAAACTTCAAAAGTACAATGTGAACGTAAAACGAGATGTGTCGTTGTTTTAATTGAAACAATTGTTTATTATAATTTTAAAATCCATCTGTCATAAAAGTATTCTATGAGACATATACAGGCAAGGAACGTAGAAAACATTCGGAAACATGGCAACAAGACGTGAACACCCGCAACAGGAACACAGAGCGGTGATGGCTCGCACCTCCGATCAGCACGGTTTAGCTACGTGCGGCGTGAACGAGGTTCAATGTACATCCATACAACGGTGCACGGGAGGTCTTTTACATTGTGCTACATTTCAATGTTAAACAAACGCCGCACATTATGCGTGGATAAACGGAAACATTTTCTGTCTCTGCAGGTATCTTGGATTCTGTAAGTGTCCTTTTGAATGGCTTCACAAGCCACAATATGCTATTAGTCACAGATTTTTCACCATGAAATGGCAATTAAAGAAGGCTGTCTTGCGGCTGTTAATGAAACGCTATCTCAGACAAAATTATCCACGGTCCTGTTCCAAAAAAATGCAATCATTTCAAGAATACAGAAAAGGAACAGTAATGGTATTTTTTCATTGATTTTGAGAATTCAGGTTGCTTGCAGTAAGCAGGCTAAATCATTTTTGAGCTGTCTTTCCTATCAGCCTCCCTCCATCTCTTTGGACAAAAAAATAATAAAAACTAGAAAACCAATACTTATTTTGATGATGCATCGGCTCGTTTGTTAACCGCTAAGGACACACATATCCACACGAAATGCATGATGGCGAAGAACATAATTATGCAGGATATTAACCAACATTATTTAAAAGCACTTTGGTAAAATAAAGTTTTCACAGAATGAATACAAATCAGTGGAATAATCACCCCAAATAAATCGAACTTAAAGATATAAATAAGCCTATTTTCATTCTAATTTAAATTAAGTCTGTTGAGTTAGGTTAGAAATATTGAGGTGGACGATTATGTAAACAATGTATACCTTTAATTAGTCCGTACATTTTAAATGGAGACGTCGCGGTAGATTGCTCGAATTGCAATTTCAAATCACAGTCGGGGGTTAATCCAACCCATCATACTTCTGGGGTCCATAAACTGATTACCACCTCGTCGGAAGACATCATTTATATTCCTATGGAAATAATAACCTTTACTCGAGGAAACAAAATTTCCATGAATGGCTCAGAGTTGCCAGTGAGGAATGAGTGCTGCCCAACTTGATTATTTTCTTTGTTTTAGCTTTTGGCTGCTATGACTGCCATATTCAATCCTAAACAACGATCGTATTTCTTTCCAATTCTCGTTTGTAATTTCTATGACTATCCAAGCAGGAATATGAGGGTGTGTAAGAATGCACATTTTTTTTCTTATCAGAAGCTTTATGCATGATGATACATTTTAATTAATGCAACTGGCTACTATGGATATAGCAGAATCATGAAAGAAATTATCACTTCAGTGTAAAACAATGGGCGCATGGAAGTTTAGGGAATGGGGGATTAAAAGTAGACACGCACATGTACTTCTTACAACAGTTTTAGATGCAGTAGTCACCGAAGAAAGAAATGTGTTCATCACACAAACTATTTTAAAACAAGCCTAATATTGGTAAATTGTGACTTGTCCACTGTTATAGTTTTTTTCTAATAGAATCTCATGATTCTGCACCGAGTGCCACTACCTTGTCATGGTGGTAAATTCGATCCTTAAACTCTATCACGGAGACACTAACAGTTTATTTTCCATAATAATGAATGCCTCGACCACCATGGGACACTTGGCACAGGATGTGTCTTTTTGCAACATCGCCTCATTAACTATCCTGCAATGAACATGGTGACACCACGGATGCCTCTTTCCATTTTGCTTGTCCTTCACAGCCTTTGGCAGGTGTTGTACCAGCGTGCTAGTCAACGTGATCACACCGTACGTAATTTCCACGTGATTTGAACATCCTGAACAGGACATGAATGCATTAATGGTCTGAGGCCAAATGAATCTCTCCCATTCAAAACTCACATTCTTCATGCTGTCTTCATCTGTGAAGCGTTCTCTTACTAAGCACCATCCGACTGGAATGTGTTACATCATAATATGAGACTTCGATTCAGGTCATGTCGCTAAATATTTTGTTACTACGAGATTTGTAAATCTAGCCAACTAATATTCCTTTTTGTGATTTCCTTCAATGTATCTTACCTTATGACATTGTTCCAACATGTTATAACTTTACATAACGTCCGATACCATTATTATTCATTCTTAAATTTACATTTGATTTTAATACGTTTGTGTTGTGTATCATCCATGGGCCAAATTTACTGTGGAATGGTTGTGCTGCTGCTATCTTACCAGGAACCCTTTGTAAATGGCATGTGAATCTCAAAGAATTAAGATTAATTACATAAATAGTTCACATTTATGGATTGTAATAATGCCCTTCATAATTCATCACAAAATATAATATCACAGACTAAGACGCTGCATTATTACTTGCCTGTAAAGTATGTGACATACCGATTAACACTTGATTCGTCAAGATTTATACCGATAAAGTCCTGTGATATTGTAGAACACCTTCCTTTGATATTTTGTGGGCCCAAACAAAAATCAAGCAGACCTCTCCAAAGGTCAAGTTATCGTAAATTAATGTACAGTGTATTCTTCCCAACTACCACTCCAATATTGGTCTCAGTGGGATTTTAGCTGGGTGATATGCGGCCTACCTCAATACTCACATCACTCCTTAAGAGTTATAAGATTAACCTATTAGCTAATGCGCATTTAAACCTGACTTTCCTAATGGATGTGTCACATGTATACATGCGTTATGAGAAGCTTATTAAAACAATTTGAATTATTTATATAACAATTCGTCTTACCCCTGATGTACCCAAGTATCGTCACGGTACATTTGGCATTTAACGCAGCTGTGCCTCTCAGCTTACTTGGCATTAATTTCCTCGTGCTTTCAAACTATTTTTGACGATGAAATTGCGGCATACTCCTTTACCATCGCGACAAATCATGGTCACAACCTATTTAGCCAGAAATGCAGATGAGCAAGAGACACGGCACATTGGGACCAATAACGTGACAACAAAAAAATCGTTATCGCAGCAAAAATAAAATGTAATGAACTAATCTATTGATCTGATATAATAATCTGCCAGACATGAAATACTAGCAATTATGTGGTCAACACATAAAACTCACAACCAATGAACAGTAGTCAATAAACACTCTCGGCCGTTATACTGAACGAATCTTTTACCACCTGCAGGCAAATTTATTTACAAAGCATATTCATTTGAAGTGCTCAATTAAATAACGAAAACAATGTGCCATTGGATACAGCATAGCAAGCAAATGCAGATTATTCAAACTCATGCCACAACTGTGTAATGTGCTATGATGAGTTATTTAATTGCTACAGTTATTTATTGGTGTATAGTAATTGATAAATATTATTTCGCTGATAAGCTTCAATACGGTAGTTTAGACATATATATCTTAATAAATGTCTCACTGAAGATTCACCTAATTTGTTATCACAGTTTAATGATGATATATTTACACGTTTTTTTTACAGCGCTATATATTTGTATGAACATTTTTTTTACATGTATGACCATTTAGTATATATCTCTGCAATGGTAGAGCCTCAATGCTGTCGAAATGGTTATTTAGCAGACGACATGCGATGATAGTAAACTACCGAAACATGTTTTGGTAAACAACAAAACCAAATCAAAGTGTATTAACATGTTAAGACATTATTAATAATTTATCAAAGAATTACAATAGATGTCATACTTGACCGGTCATTTTATCTATATAAGTTTAAGTGAAACAAAACCCACCCTTATACCTGAAATATACAATAACCAACAGCGTCGTGCACTTATGTACACTAATAATGCCACCTATGGCATTACAACTATACAATAATTCCAATATAGTTGCGTGATGATCATTACACAACTCACAACTTAATCATGCTGTTATTATAGATATACACAAGGGTAAATTAATATAATGCCATGGCTGAAAACTAAATACAGCACATCATACCTAAGCTGACACAGTAAGTGCTCTAGTTGAAAATGTATATTCTTTATTGTCTTTTCTAAAATAAACTTTAAATCTCTTCAGTAGTTTCCCACCAATCTTGCATTGTTTATAGCGTGCAGGCTCCGATTTTTACATGCAGACATCCATAAAATATGGACACAGTTCATAGGCTGTTTCCCAGTGAAACCCAAGGTAGCTTTTTGATACAAAGCTGATAAGTGTCACACATAAAGTTATCCAAATAACCAATTACCCACTTGAGTCACAAAGTTCCTGTTATTGACAATAGTCAATGACAGTTCGATTTAAAATTGCTGAAATTAAACACATCACCACCTTTCCGTTTGGCAACACTCACCCAGAGTCTTTAGTGTTTTTTTCTTTCTGTTAAATCAATTGATTTGGATACATTCATAAGGTGGAGTGAATGCTTTACGTCTTTCAGCACCACGACCAATGCTCTCATCACAGGCAGAGATGACGAGGGCACAACGGGCATTTTAAAATAAAGGAAGGCCCACGTATGATACGTATTTATATATAGAGTATATGCATTAATAGTGCCCAATTACAATGCATTGTTTTCATCCTTTACGGAACATGGGCTGAGAATAACACTTTTAGCCAACAGATATTCCCAAGCGACGTCTTGTGTCGTTAATGCTGAAGATTGTCAGATTTGGACTTGCTTTGTTCTGTTCACCACTTATTAGCAAGCCATAATTTGTACACACAATATTATCATTTTTGGGCCAAGCTAGCATCAACACTGGGGGCCATGTAGTGTTGATGCTAGCAGAATTACAAATGGCATGGGCCTGTCACTGTACATGTAGTGCAGGGTACATAAACAGTACAATGAATGACAGTTCAGGCTTCAATGCGCTTCATGTGAAACATTTACTGGAGACATACCTCACGTCATGCCTTGAATTAATATGCAATTGGAATAAGCTGCCATAAGCATCCCATTTTAATCTCCTTACCAATTATAAAACACACCACCTTGAGAGGCAATGCGGGCGCAGTGAATGAGAGCATAGTTCCGTGCTGTTCCTATTGGCTATGCTCTGCTGCCCTTGTGTTCTATGGCTCGTATAACTTACTCGTATTATTGGCTTAATGAACAACGCAGCTCTGTTTGATCGCGGCAAAGTCATGCATTGAAACTAAGCGTGCTCACATGTAAGCGAATGCTATTACCTCGGGTCGATGCAGCTCACCGTGACCCGGTGGTAAGCAAGGACGGGTCGTCACATCGTTGCATCCTGCCGTAAACAGGCCCATCGGATGGATTTTCAAATATTGAATTTGTGCATTTTTTGTTCATTAAATAAGGGTTTGTTTACACTAATGGCCTATATAAAAAGTGCAGTCGTGGTATTACGGTAAGAGAGGCATGGGAAATTATTCTGGGCATTTGCTGCAGACTAGTGTCAATTTTAGGGTTGTTGGATTTTGCAGTGAGGAGCCTCAGAGCACTTTATTCAAACAATTTATCTCCAGAATTTAATCAGGGGCCTCCTGACCTCTTTCCACGCAAGCCTGACATTATCTACCATACAGTCTCCAGACCTTACCCACCCCTACATCATCCAAACTCCCCTCCGCATCATCCAAATATGCTTCCTGACACCCCCCGACCAAACATTCCAGCTTTCTCTCTAGCTGGTGTTGCCCTGGTCTTCATTTCCTGCAGAACACCATTACTACGGCCTTACAACTTCCCACTTGGGCCTGCAAATTTTTCTCCCAACTCTTAACCGAGCTTTGTGGAAGGTGAGAGACAGAAAAGAGAGACTGATGGATTTCCCCAGTGTCCTAGAACACTTTTATTTCCAGGCCTGAAGACCAAGATATTGTGCAGTTGTGGGTTATATTCTCGAATAATCCTCGCTGGGTTTTTTTATTTTATTAAAAGTATCCTCAAATGCACATTCTGCCTTTAACCTCTACATCTACAAAAAAGAAATAGGGTTTGATACTCCCATTAATTGTGTATGAATACATGTGTGACTAATCATGTGTAGCGTACCTACTCACACATGCATGCATACATAAATAAATGCTTAGCTGTGCTTAACATTGTGCACTCACAAACTCACCCAGACATCCAACACACATTCATCATAAAAATCGTTGCCATGTGCATCTGCATTTTTGTTGTCCTTCCCCCGCACCTACGATTAGCACGGTTGGCTACGTACGGCGCGAAAGAAGTTCAACACACATACATACATATTCCTAAAACAAGAAGCGACACAGAGAAAATAACCCTCATACCAACGTATCTCTGGTACCATAGCAGGGCAGAGTGCTTGTGTTACCTCCATCTTGTCTGCTGTGGACCAAGCCATTACCAACATGTCCATTCTGGTGCCTGGGCCAGGACACCAATGAAGCATGCACAAGGTTGTCAGGTGTACCCGTGGGGCCAGGAGGTCCCTCTTGTTGGTTAGACACACTCGACACGCACTGTACTCGGCTGCTTGAGCTCACATCAATTTTTCCTTGGACTGGGGCATTGGTGGACTGCCCATTATAGTTGGATGGCTTAACGAGTTGATCGCTGTAATTGGGCAAGCCAACAGCTTGGAAGGCATTGCCAGTCGGGTAGGAAATCAGACTCTGGCTCATCGGAGCGGGAGTTGTGACAGAGCTCATCAAACTGCTTTTTAGATTTCCTTTGTTCACACTTTGTGAAGGATTAACAACAGGAGGACCTTGAGATGACGTTGATGAACAACAGCTCTGCTCTTTTGAGCTCCTCTGTTGATCTGATGGCACTTTGTTTGAAGACATTTTCTCCGGGTTCTCTTGAATGGATGCTTGCAGTGCTGCTCTGCTCTGTTCCAGTTGCTTTGCCGTGACATCGTCCCCCACTTTGTTTGGCAAACTGTGGATCTGGTTTCCATGGGAAGACCCTCTGATGATCGGGCATCCGTAATTTGGGGGCTTTTTCATGTGGTTTTCATAGTCCGGAGGGCCACTAAACTGACTCCTAATCTTGCCACTAGCGGGGCCACTGGTAGATGGAGAATGGCTCGTGTGATCCCCATTACAAGATTGCCTGACATTAATATTGTCATAGTTTTGTGGTCTCATGGCCTCATTGTAACTTGGTGGGCATCTGACTTGATGATCGGCCTGAGCAGATTGATTTGTACAGAAGTTCCCATGACTGAGTGAATGTTTCATCGGTTCTGCCTGACTCTGCGTGTTTGTCACCGGTTTTCCCTCGCCCATGTCGATTGCAGCATGACCCATATTATGATTCTCTGCACTGCTACAAATCAGCCCTGGATTTGTGCTACTGGAATATAGGCCACGGTGCTGACTCAAGCTTTTCCCATCATTTTCAGGTCCATGTAAAACGGCACCACTCTCGTCATGACTCACAATGCCACCTTTAGTTGGACGAAATAAGAATTTCCACTGACTCAACGGATGCTGTGAAGGGACAAGTTTCGACTCCACTACCGCTGTGCCAACGTCTTCTTGCGTCGTCGGAAACCCCAGGGCACTGCATTGCAAAACGTCGCAAGCCTGGCTTGAATTGGGCATCACTTTTAACGAAAAGTCAAATTCACCGGGAGGGTTTGCACCGTAGCTTTTTTGACTCGGCACCTTAAAAAGCTGCTTTTGCTCCATGAGCAAATTGTGGTTTCTGTAGCTGGGTTTAGTGGACAGCGGACCTCTCTGCTGCACAGTGAGTATGTTGTTCCTCCCTCCCGGGTAATCACCACTGTCTGCTAGGTCTCGGCACGTGTTGATGTACCAGGGAACGTTGAGATACTCGTTTGCTGGGCCGAGCCTCTCGCGTCCTGTGTTGCGATATTCCACTTCGCTTGGGGTGTTGTTTGCGGCAGAACAGTCAGAATAAAATGGGTTTTCTTCAATGGGAATGAAATATTCTGTAAATATATAGAGAGAAAAAGCAATGAGTATGATCCTGCAAGATTTAGCATTTAAAACAAGCAATATAATAACATTATATTTTTAACAAATTATATTCCTATAATTCTCGAGACGAGAACCCAATGGGTAACATAAAAAAACAACATTATTGCGCACTGGCATTTGTGAGGGCCTCCCACACTTAAGAAGCCCTCAAATATGGCTTTATATAAATCACTTCAGACTCATATGCAAGTAGGCCACCTTAGATTGCAGGTACCACAAAGGTTTCTGATCTATTTATCTATTTTTATTTTTCCAGGTAAGGCCCACTAAGTTATATAGGTACTTGTCAGAAGTGACCTCGCCACAAATGATAGCTCAACAAAATAGCTTATCACGTGAACATTTATAGCAGCCAAATTGATTCTAAATGTGGAGGGGAAAATCGGAGGACCCAGAGAAATATTAACGCAAACACGGGGAGAACATGCAATCTCCAAATACACAAGTATCAGGGTTGGGGTCGAACCCACGGCCACCTGTACAGCAGGCGAGGTAGTTAACATCATGCCACCGAGCAACTCGGAATTTGTAAGGTCAGGCGCACATGGAGATGGGCTGATTTAAGTTGAATGGCATATCAGATGGCTCAACTCAACAATTAGATGACCTGGACAAATGTCCAATTGCTTGGTGGTTCAATTACACTCCGGGTACCACAACTAAGTCTGGCACTCGAACAATCATGCATCAAACTACGCAAGAACTACAGTACTACCAATATGTTACTGAATACTAGCCCGTTTCATGTGCCCAGCAGCAAACAGTGTTGTTGGCACCCGATGTGTTTCAAATTGTGTTTTCATTCGGAAATTAACTCTAACCATGTCTGCTCTGGTTTCACATGTCCTGGCCATAGGTAAGCATATCGCATGTACATTACCGACCTTTGTACATCTACTGCTACAGGAAGGCCTTCCAACACCAGCGTTGTTGTTTTGGACCGTACTTTATGCTGGTCAGTGTGAGTGGAGCAGTGTGGCACCGTGTTTAGCGCACTTGGCTACGAACACGACGATTCGAGTTTGATTCCTGTCCAAGGCTAACATCTGTATCGAGAGATATCTGAGCCAGCCCTAACCCTTTTCCCTCAACTACCTCTACCGCCCCGGAATAGTGTCGTCAAGTGTGGCGGAGCAACCTCAATGCGTCACGTGGCATGTGGAGGCCTTCATCCAGCAGCGTATCGACAAAGAGAGGTAAATTATATACTCAAAACATTTACATCGCATCACAAACACGTGCTGATGACAAACTCCCCACCCACTACATCTAACAACAATGACATGTTCCATGTACACTTGAAACTGATTTTTGGGTTCCTGAGATATGGCATTAATTAAGATTGCATATAGAAAACATGTTGTTCAGACATTGGGCTATATCTGTTAAACTTTGCACTACATTTCTTGTCTCCTAGTAAAATGGGTGTTTTTTCACAATAAGCTTAGATAATCATGATTGACACTTTGACGACAACGTAATGTTTTGGCATTAATTGGGCAGAGACTATAAATATCACTCCACATTAAAACCACTCATTTAATGGTGACCCGAGGCTTAAACCCAGGATCTCAGAGGTGCATGGAGTATACAGTATGTGTTTACAAGATATGCAAATATAAATCACCAACAGAAAATATACATCCACAGGAGTGCATTCTTCACACACTTGGTGGATTACCGACGGTAGAATGTTAAATTTCGATTTTTTTTTATTATTTTATTCTCATTCTACGTGACTTTACCGAAAGAACCAAAGAAGGTAGAATGTTAATTTCACTTTTAATTTATTTCGTATTTATTACTCGCTTTGTGGAAGGGAGTCCAAATATATATTTTGTAAAGACCAGGACAGCCATGCAAGCAAAGGGACAACTCGTTAGAATCTTAATTTAATTGAAGGTCATTGTTGCGCAAGTGGCAGTGTCCTCTTTTAAACGATGTCAAAGGATCTACAATGTTCATACATTTTGTTAGAAGCAGGCGCATCCCACAATTTGTTGCTCAGTCCACGGCTGGCAGAAAGGCCTCCACTAGAGGGGGATCTAGAGGGACCCTCTAGAGAGTTCTTAATCGATTTTTGGGTCAGGTCACCGCTAAAGTAAAGTGTGTGCCGTAAAACCCTCCTCTCACCCGACACAGCCAACTCATAAGGTTTGTCACGTGAACAAACGTGCCAATCGATTACTGCTTCAGCAGCATGTGTGTTGGAGAGCAATCCACAACATTTAACGATGTGGTTTGACTGGTCGTTGCTGGTAGTTACAACCAGTTGCCAGAATTTGCCAACTGCCTGATGATGCTGGTTGTAACTACCAGCGAAATTTCATACCCAATTGTTGAATATTGTGAACTTGCCTCCAACATACCGGTGAGCAAGTTGATGAATGACATTCAAATAAATAAAACAAACGCTGCTGTACTTTAATCAACTACGACTTTAGTTTAATAAACCCGCTTAATACACCTTGCTTTCAGAAGCTGTGGTTTGAACTATATTAGTACTTTAATAGACTGCTGCTCGTAAAACAACCACCAATCTCGGTGAGCTATGTGATGAATATAGATATACTACAATGATGCTGAAGACAAGTTGTAATTTCGATAATACAGCAGCTCATTATTGAGTAATACTATAAGGGGAAAGGAAACATCATTTGTTCAGAGAGAGAAATATTCGAAGTTATACCCTGCAGCCCTTTCTGCAAACTCAAGAACTCAGTCTCTTACAGCATAATCTGTCACCTGAAACATCACTGCTATATTACATTGAGGCCAAATACGGTCATGAATATAGTTTATTTTTTAAAGTGCTAATATTCACATCAATAACGTTTCTGCTTTCATTGCTACAACTCATGCAGCAATTACTGTATTAAAAAAAAATCCTCATTATTATTGTTATTACTCCCCAGGGTACTTTAATATTACTCCCTTAAAAGCTTCACATCAGGCTTTGATTGCTTTGATGGTTCTTTGGGAACCGGGGGGACCAAAATAATTAGAGGCTGTGCGTCGTCCACTGCGATGCTTCCACATGTAAACCGTCGCTCACACCACCTCCGGCCTTGACACATCACCGCTGTTTGGACAGGTTCCGGCGCCACAATCGGGGCCCGTGCACTCTTCCTTGCATTCCTTTTTGCAAGCGCGGCATTGTCAAGGGTTCGGAAACACCCAAGGTGCAAACTGTGCGCCTCAAAAGGTCAGACATTCGTGCTTTGTTGCTCTACAATGGGAAAGCATTTGCAATCAGGTGCGGAACACGTGGCCTTAGATACTGCAATGTTAACATCCTACGTGACTTTACCGAAAGAACCAAAGAGTATGGATTCCTGCAGTCACGAAAGCTTCAAATCAAGATGGGGTTAGTATTATAGCCATAATTATCACAGTAACGTTAACTAAAACCCTGCCTAAACATCAATTTTACAAATTGTCACTATTCGAGTTTGAGATTTTTTTTACTAGTAATAACAACAATAAGACACATCACATGTACACTGCGAAGTGGATGCTGTTGGTCTTTTTTTGTAGCATGTACATGATCTCTCAGTGACGATCTCCCTGCTGTAAAGAAGAGCCATTGCTCGAAATGTCACCTATTATGTATTTATATAGTTTCCCCTTAAGGGGGGTGGTATTGATGAATGTGTTGCGTTGTTGTTCTTTGTGCATGTGCACCACTGTCATCGCAGGAGCCCAAACAACATGTTTTGGTGAAGAAATAAAATCGCAGTTTCCATATTTCAGTCATGAGCTACACGTTGAGAGGCGATGAGACCCCAGTCTCTGGTGTAGGGCTGTATCGCTGTCAGATCCGCGTTTATCAATTGCTGCCAAATAAATTAGAATTTCTTATTGATTACTTAATCATCTCCGTTAATCACACATTCGCTGTATTTGTAATCGCTGTATTGTCTGAAGCATGCGGTTGCTGATAAAGGGCGTTTGAGAGCCTGCTAACAACCCACTGGGTACCATTTATTATAGCAACAAAAATTTCCATGAAGATGCTGCATGGTATACGTGCAAGTCATGCTGTGGATGAATGGAACTTTAAATACACAACGTCTTATAGGACTAGTTGCTTAAAGCTCAGTTCCGAACAAACGTGACTGACGTTTTTTTGCCGATTCCTTCTTGAGTATGTTAATATGCGGGGGGAACCACAGAGAACCTGGTGAAAACACGGTGCATTTCAGAGGATAACACATACATTCAGCAGAGATACGTCGTAAACCTACTTGATATACTGCCACACAGTGGCCACCAAGTACCTATGCAGGTGGGTAACCTCCAATAAGCACGGTTGCCTACGTACGGTGCGAAAGAAGTTCAATTTCTTGTTTCCGCTGATCAAGGATACCCTCAAGTTCCCCCTGAAGTGCAAAATAATCAGCCTTCAAGTACGGGAGGAGCAGCAGGCTGCCGACCGCCTGGGGCACTGCCGCATCCACCAGGCCTGGGCCCACTTTGAGATCCAACGTCGCGATGCCGAAGCGGATCGCCGCCAACAAAGAAAGGATTCCACTGCCATCTGGGACCGCGCGGGGCCCCAATGCCCAAAGATCTGCGGATCCAGAATTGGACTCCTCAGCCCGCTCAATAGCAGCCACCGCTAAACCTGATGGACGTCATCCTTGAACCCCGAGGGACTGCCACGACGACGACATACATTGGCACACGATTGTCCCACTGTGATCTACCAACCCGCCTCCAGAGCAAGGCACCGTAGCCGTGCTCCACCAGAGTGTTAATCACGTGCCCGCCCGACCCGACTGCAGGAAAGGGGCATGCGAGATGCGGCTTATGGAATGGCTCTTCACAACGTCTTTGTAAAAACACCGTTTCATAAAACGAGTACCACTTTGTGGGAATTCGATGGGATTCATATCATGATCAGGATGCCCACTCCCAATGCAAATGTGGATTTTCCAATTCTTACTCC